CTCGGGCGCCTGGCCACTGCCGCCTCGGCGGGCGCGCGCTTTCTCACGCTGCGAAGGGGGGGGGGCAGGCTGGCCGGAGGGACCGGGGGGGCCAGAGGGGCCAATGGAGGAGGGCGGAGGGGGACAGCAGAAAGGGAGGGGAGGGGGAAGGGGAGGAAGGGAGGGAGAAGGGAGGGAGAAGGGAGGGAGAAGGGAGGGGAGGGGGAAGGGGAGGAAGGGAGGGGGAAGGGAGGGGGAAAAGGAGGGAGAAGGGGAAAGAGAAGGGAGAGAAAAAGGAAGTGATGGAGGGTAGGGGTGGAGAGAGGAGAGGGGAGGGATGCAAGCGAGGTAAGTCCGCCCTAAGTCCGCCCCATATCTGGCATACAGTTCTTCCCCCCTTCCCTTCCCATTGCGCTGGTTTGTTGTCCATACGCGGACGCGTTTCCTAGCCGGCCTGAAACTCATTAAACAAAAAATCACGTGATGCATAATCGGAAAAGCGAAGCCGCGTACATAGGAGGAGGAGGAGGAGGAGGAGGAGGCGACGGGCGAGCAGGAGGACAAGCAGGAAAAGGAGGAGGATGAGGAAGGATGAGGACGAGGACGAACCTCAGCAGCAGGAACTGGAGTGGAAGATGTGGGAGGCGCAGGAGGACAAGGGGAAGGCGCAGGAGAGGAAATGAGGGGGGCGACATCGATGAAACAGGACTCGGATCCAATAAAGGGGCCGGCGCTGGGGCGACGGCGACACTCTGAACGACGGGAGCAAAGCGCCGATCCAAAAATGAGGCCCAAGCTACAGCCAGCGGGAACGCCACTTTGAAGCACCGAAACAATCGGAGCGCAAACATACGCATGAAAAACAACTGGCTTGGCTTGGCGAAGGGGGGCCAGAGATCTTCCGGACAGGGTCAGGTGACAGGGAAGAATAGTATTCAGATTGCGTACATGTAAACAGGGAGAAGGAGGGAGTGAAGGAGGGGAGGGGGGAGGGCAGGGAGGGGGGGAGGCAAGCTATGTACGCTCGCGTCACATCTGACGCCCTACCCCTCCCTCCCATCCTTTACCATGGCGTAGATCTTCTTTCGATTCGCACAATCGGATGCCGCAACATGGCATATAATTACATGGCATAGCACGGTGTTGAAGATCAACGCGTAACATGAGCACGATTCGGAACGAGCGGTAGCCCGAAAATGAGGCCACCGCTTCAGCGAGAGCAGCATATCGAAAACTAACCCAAGCGCGGAAACGCGGAAATGAGGACGCGTAGCCTGACATAGCATGGCGTGGCGACGCCCCAAAGGGGGGGGGCTTCTGCGGTAGAAAAAATCAACGAACCAGCACCAAATGTGTAATCACTTCCGATGGTTTTTTGGGGTATCTAGATTTCGGGGCCTATTTGGAAGGACCAAAAACCATGCCGTGGCATGGCACTGGAAAGAATGACGCCAGCGCTGCACTGGGAGCACGATTCGGGACGAGCGGAAGCGTGGAAATGAGGCCAGCGCAGCAGCGGGAGCACGATTCGGAATGAGCGGTAGCATGAAAATGAGGCCACCGCTTCAGCGAGAGCAGCATTTTGAAAACAAAACCCAAGCGCGGAAACGCGGAAATGAGGACGCGTAGCCTGACATAGCATGGCGTAGCGACGCTCCAAAAGGGGGGCTTCTGCGGCTCCAAAAATCAACGAATCGAGACAGACTGTGTAATCACGTCCGATGGTTTTTTGGGGGGGGGCATTTTCTAGATGTTGGGGCCTATTTGGAAGGACCGAAAACAATGCCGTGGCATGGCACTGGAAACAATGACGCCAGCGCTGCAGTGGGAGCAAGATTCGGGACGAGCGGAAACGCGGAAATGAGGCCAGCGCAGCAGCGGGAGCACGATTCGGAATGAGCGGTAGCCCGAAAATGAGGCCAGCGCTTCAGCGAGAGCAGCATTTTGAAAATAAACCAAACGAAAACCCAACTCCCGGGAATTCTGTGTAGAAAAACCAGTACGCGGAGGGGGGCCGGACATTTCCCGGAAGCCACCAGGGGAGAGAGGAGAGTAGTAGTCATAGTGTGTAGTTGTGGAGGGAGGGAGGAAGGGAACGGAGACAAGGGGGGAAGGAGAGAGGGGGGAAGGGGGGATAAGATGAATTGCTCTTGCTGCGCATTCGTTTCGCTCGCTCTCATCGCCCTTCCATTGACGATGCCGAAAGTGCAATTGCCCCCATTCCTGTAATGCCAGCTTGTGACGAACAAAAAAATCAGACGCGTAATTTGAATCCGCCGACCCTGTCGGCGTGTGCGAGGGGTCTGTCTGTTCGAGTCGCCGTCTCCGTCTGTCGTCGTCTCCGTCGTCCGCTTTCCCTGCGCCCTCCTTCTCAAGCCTGTCAGCGAGGGAAAAAATAGCAATGCCGTAGCAAAATCAAAAGGAATGTCGTAACAGTTGCGCATCCCCCCTGGGGGTCCCGGGGCCGCAAAAAGTACCAAGACAAGCCAAGAGTGGCCCAAGAGGTCCCGGAGACGGTCCA